CTCATCAATGGAGGAGCTCGTCTGGGGCCATGAGTTAAGTGGACTGTTAGCGACAATCAGCCTGGGATCACGGAGCACTGGATATAGAAAGATGAGGGATCGCCTCCCCCCAAAACTCCACCCCATCCTAGTCCCCTCCCTTCCCTTCGTTGCCAGGCCCTCTGGCTGGCTAGGCTGAAGTAGGGATGTAAAATAGCAGTTCACTGATTAAACGAAACGTTTAACGGGTTAACCGTGATCCCACTAGAGGGGGCTGCCCGGCCCAGGCTCTGCCTGCCCCCGGCCAGGGCACACGACTGAGCTTGGGGCTGATGCACAGCCAGGCCGGGGTCCCCCTGCCTCCACCTGGGCCCCTGGGGCTGCCATTCCTGGCTGCCCTCCTCCGGTGTGGAGGGGCTGGGGCTGCCACACAGAGGTTTTCCCTGCTCCCGCCAGGGCTGCTGCAGCCCCAGCCCAGTGTCCTATCCAGTAAGCATAAGACTCACTGGTTAACCATTTACATCTCCCTAGGCAGCCATGCCTTGGTGCTCAACTCCATTCCTTCACAGCATCCTTCAAAAGCCACCACCAGCCTCACTTTCCCCTGCAGGCCACACTGAATTTGCAGCCTCATTCTCTGAACCTCTGGGAGTTGGAAACAGATTTTTCACCTCCCAAACGGCAGGCGGAAACAACCCTTTTGCACCTGGCTTGGGTTCTTTAAAGAGAACAGTGGCTCCAAAAAAAAAAAGGATTCATTTATTTTTGCTCACAAACCTTCAAGTGCCGTAAGTTTACAAAAATCAAACGCATTCACACCCACAACAATGCCAAGCTGGACTTGAGAACCATCCCAGGAATGATTTAAATACACTCACTTTAAAAAAGTGTAAAAAGTTGGCTCCCTTTATAAATACAGTGCAATCCTTCTGTACAATCTTACAAGGCTGAGACAAGCGGGAGGCACACCCTGGCCGGACAGAGGAAGGGTTTCATATGCAATTCCCAAGAGAAGTGGAAGATTCAAGACAGCCTTTCAGGTACTTCTCTTAGGCCTTGTCTAGGTGGGGCAACTCACTGGAGGAGCTACCCCACAACAGCTCTAGTGCTTTAAATTCAGACCCTAGCTTACTCCAGAATAGATCCCCCGTGTAGACAAGCTCTTTGAGCATGCTCTGTTTAAGCACACAACAAAACGGAGCTGCAAAGTACAGATCTGAGATATTAAGACTCATCCCCAGTTAAAAGCCTTGCCTGTAAAGCCAGATCAAGGCAGCACCTGGAATGTTTCACAATGTTTCCAAACCACTGAGTCAATGTTTAGCTCTATAGAAGGCAGGCATTCACAAGGGGCAATACGCCGGTCTCAGCACACAGACACCTCAGGGTTATGTACAAAGCAAGTTCAGGTTCACACTTTAAAAACACAAGAAAAACAAAATACCATTGTTTCAAAAAAGCTTATTTTCAAAATTGGTATGAACACAGCCCTGTCAGGTCCATTTCAACGGGCAGCCCTGCTGTGAAAATGAACCCCCTCCTCACGTATCATATTTGCTCGTGGGCATGTCGTCATGAAGAATGCTCCACAGAGGGACAGCAAACCATCCGAGCACAACGTGGACCTGGCTACACTGGCAAAGCTGTGCAAGGCATTGGGATCGTGAAACCGCCCCAGCCGCCATGCCCTGAGTGAAACAAACAAAACAAAACTTTGCTAGTCTAGCTGCTTCCACACTCGAGGTTTCTAGTGGCACAGCTATGCCAAGCAGAGGGCAAACCCACCCCCATGCAACTGGGCCAGCAGAAGTGCTTAGCATAGACCTGACCAGTCTTGTTTCCGAATTTTGGCTTTGTCTAGACTAGGCGTTAGCATTCTGGTTTCTAGCTGGTGTTGGCTAGCTCAGGCTACCCTTAACTCTGCCCACTTTGCTCATGCTAACACACAGCTTGCTTTGTCTAGAGTTTTGGAAGCGGGTCACTGGCTTGATCCAATTTCCATCACCCCTGTAACTTTTAATCTACACATCTTGTGACCCAGGTCAGAGCTGACCACGCTTCACTCCTATTAGCCCCACTCCCAGCACTGCTGTGAAGGGGAAGCTGGATTCTAGCCTCCCCTGTGCATCAAAGCGGCTAACGAAGGACCTTGCTACCCTGGAATTGCCCCCAATTCAGCTGCACTGCCTACAAATTCCTCCTCTAAACAGGACAGCTACTACCAGCTTCCATTGGCATCGATGCAGCCCACCCAAACCCCCACTCCATGCATGACAGCTCAGCCCTCCAGTGACACCCATAGAGCCCCCCAGGACAGGGGGGTGGCATGGGTCTTGGCTGGAGAGCCTCTCTGACTGGGGAAGACCCCGAGGACCTCTCCAAACACATACACAAGGGGGCAGATTGACAAAAAGCAAGTCCCCAAACCTACCCCCAAGCAGAGTTTTCACACACACACCCCCAGGGAGAACAGTGAGGGACTCCATGGGGCCCATTAGGGACTTTGCTATTGCAGTTTATGTGGAAGGTGCCACCCATCCCCATAGCATCTGGGCAGCATTAAATCCCTTTGCTGGATTAAAAGCCAACAAAAGTGTTTCATGTTCATTTCAGGGGACACTTTGGCCCACATGGCTCTCCTAGGGCCAGATGCGAATGGGATTCTACCCAACCAGCATCCACTGCAGGCAAAGGCTAGCCCTCTCCCCAGGCAGGCGTCAGTGGCATTCAGGAAGGGGTTAAGAACGCAGGCTTGTTTTCCACTTGTAAGACAGAATTTTTAACGGGCCATCACATGACAAAATCCCCTACCCACCAACCAGCAGCTGTTCTGCAAATATTGGAAAACTGGAACTCTAAATCAGCCATTCAGGCAGGGCGGGGCGAATTTTGGACAGATGGAAATAAAACACTATTTCCCCTTTTCCTCTGGCTTTTTGCAAAAGCTACTGACAATGGAATCTGGGGCTATGAGGTGGAGCCAAGAGTTAAATACAGGCTCCATTTTCAAAGGCGTTTAGGCCCCTAAAAATAAAGATCAGCACCTAGTAAGATTTTCAACATCTGGCAAGGAGTAAAAATAAAAGAAAGTTTAGATCAAAATGTCTGAACTCCAGTAGCTAAAGTTTGACACCCAAATCTGTATTTTTTAGGCACCAATTAGTGGCTTGATTTTCACTTTGAAGAGGGAGCAGCAGGTGCTTCGCATCTCAAACAAACAAAAAATCAAGCCACGATTAGCTGCGTAAATATTCATTCATGTTCGACGATTTGTGCACCCAGTGCCTGACTAGCAGATTTAAGTTTAAATTGCATCTGAAAATGAGGATGCTACATGGGGCGCAGATGACTGGTCTCTGATTGGCTCGGTGAATATCATGCGTTAGCCAATCAGAAAACAGCAGCCAGCAGGGTGACATAAGCCCTTGGCTCCATCCCCTTGAAGGGGCCGATGGTCCAGAACTCATTGCTAAGACCTGGCCCCTCAAAGGAGCCCAAAGCACGTCATGGAAGCAGGTAACAGTCCTGCATCACAGGAGGCAGAGTGAGAGCAAACGGCCTGGTTTTCACAAGGCAAAGACACATGCCACTGGGATACAGATCCCCTCCCCGTACGCTAGCATGGCCATCCCAGATTGAATCCACTCTGCTCCCAAAAATCTACCATGGGGGGGGCACTTGCTCTCCTAAAGGACCCAGCCCAGTTTGTGGCATTTGGGGGAACCCTCCCTTCTTACTAGAGAGGGCTCCTCCCACTCAGAGAGGGACCTGTCACTAACCTAACCAAGAATTCGGAGAAGGGCTGGTCCAACTGAGAAGAATCTGGGGTCACCCTGGACTCCTTGACTAGATGCCTGGGGTCCACCCAGCAGCCTGCAGCAGAGCCGGCTGTTTGGCACCAGTCTCAAGGGAGCAGATCAAAGTGACCCCTGGAGGACAAGGCAGCAGGTACTTCAGGGAGACGGTGGTGCGAGGGCGGGGCCTAGGGTCAGTCGAAGGGGAGGGAGGCGTGTAGACGTGTATACCGGGGGAGGTACAGCTGGAATCTCCCCAGTCGCAGGTGGCTCCAGCGACTGGCCAGGCATGTCCCTAGCTCAGCCCATCCCCGACTCGCCTTGTTTCAAGTTTCATGACAGGACATCAGAGCAGGCCGCTGGGAAGTGTCACTAGAGGCCCCAGACCTTCACAGGGACTCCCAGCCGACTGCTTCACATCAAAAGCCACCTGACGGGCGCAGGTACAACCCAGGTTTCCCTTGGCACTGGGCTGGCTCAGACCCTGTAACTCCGGGAACAGGAGGGAAGACCCACATGGGTCAGATCCAGAGCGAAACACAAGTGTCCCGCAGCTATGCTGCCGGCACAGATCCCTCCCGCCCCCCAGCAGCTGCAGGAGCTCCAGGGTTTCTTCATTCCCCAGCAGCCCACCACGATTTTGGGGAGCGGGACCCTCTTGCCTGGCCACACAAGTCCCCTGGCAGGCCAGAGCGCCCCACACGCAGCAGAAGGGTTGTCTCCGAGGGGTGGGAGCGGGACGGGAAGATTCGCTCTCCAGAGCCCTGGTCTCCCGGGGTCTCCTTGCCCGGGCCCAGCACCCCTGGATGGTGGGGGGGAGGGGAGAGAGAAGCCAGCCGAGGCACCTTTCCTCTGGCAGGCTCTTTGGGGACACCTCCCCGGGTGGCCATCTGGGGTCTCGCATTGCACTGATGGCTACGCCCAGTCTGTGCTGGGCCGAGCAGCACCGGAGAGCAGGCAAAGAGCCGTGGGGACCCCCTGGAGGAGGGGAGAAGTGGAAGGAAGCCCCGCCCCACAGGAGCCCTCCAGCCCCCAGCCGAGGCACCTTTCCTCTGGCAGGCTCTTTGGGGACACCTCCCCGGGTGGCCATCTGGGGTCTCGCATTGCACTGATGGCTACGCCCAGTCTGTGCTGGGCCGAGCAGCACCGGAGAGCAGGCAAAGAGCCGTGGGGACCCCCTGGAGGAGGGGAGAAGTGGAAGGAAGCCCCGCCCCACAGGAGCCCTCCAGCCCCTGGTTCAAGTCAAAGCCCAGGCCTCCAGCAAAGACGTTAGCACCATGGCGGGGAGGGAGAGGGGGCCCCTCGCCGGCTCAGTTCTTCAGCAGGTCGCCAAGGTCGTAGGCCTCGAAGAGGTCGCTCACGCCCTCGCCCCCTTCCAGCCCCCACAGGTAGTCGTCCTGGTCGAGGGGCGGGGAGAAGCTGACGAAGGGGGCGGGGTCACCGTAGGGCAGCTGGTCCTCCGTCTGCTGCAGCAGGTGATGGGGCACGTCCAGGAGCCCGTCCTCCACCTCCATCAGGGGCGCGGCTGGGGAGAGCGGAGAGGGACAGGAGAGCTCGGGGGGAGCCCGGCGGAGCCCCACGGGCCAGGCGCCCCACCAGCCCCGCTCGCCGGACGCGCAAGAGGAGCCTGGGAGCGCAGGCAGGACCCTCACCGCTAGCCTCCCGCTGCCTAGCGTCTCCCGCGGCTCCAGCCCTGCCGTCCCCACCCCACACAGCTCTGCCTGGGCCCCTCGCCCAACCTGCAGCCCCCCTGCTAGCCCTGCCCTGGGGTCCCTCCCCACACACTGCTCTGTCCGTGCCCCTCACCCAACCCGCAGCCCCCCTGCTGGCCCAGCTCAGAGGTCCCGCCCCACGCTGCTCTGCCTGTGCCCCGCTGGCCCAGCTCAGAGGTCCCGCCCCACGCTGCTCTGCCCGTGCCCCTGCCCAACCCACAGCCCCCTGCTATCCCCGCCCTGGGGTCCCTCCCCCCACACTGCTCTGCCCGTGCCCCTGCCCAACCTACAGCCCCCCTGCTAGCCCCGCCCTGGGGTCCCTCCCCCCACACTGCTCTGCCCGTGCCCCTGCCCAACCTACAGCCCCCCTGCTAGCCCCGCCCTGGGGTCCCTCTCTGCCCGTGCCCCTGCCCAACCCACAGCCCCCTGCTATCCCCGCCCTGGGGTCCCTCCCCCCACACTGCTCTGCCCGTGCCCCTGCCCAACCTACAGCCCCCCTGCTAGCCCCGCCCTGGGGTCCCTCCCCCCACACTGCTCTGCCCGTGCCCCTGCCCAACCTACAGCCCCCCTGCTAGCCCCGCCCTGGGGTCCCTCCCCCCACACTGCTCTGCCCGTGCCCCTGCCCAACCTACAGCCCCCCTGCTAGCCCCGCCCTGGGGTCCCTCCCCCCACACTGCTCTGCCCGTGCCCCTGCCCAACCTACAGCCCCCCTGCTAGCCCCGCCCTGGGGTCCCTCCCCCCACACTGCTCTGCCCGTGCCCCTGCCCAACCTACAGCCCCCCTGCTAGCCCCGCCCTGGGGTCCCTCCCCCCACACTGCTCTGCCCGTGCCCCTGCCCAACCTACAGCCCCCCTGCTAGCCCCGCCCTGGGGTCCCTCCCCCCACACTGCTCTGCCCGTGCCCCTGCCCAACCTACAGCCCCCCTGCTAGCCCCGCCCTGGGGTCCCTCCCCCCACACTGCTCTGCCCGTGCCCCCGACCAACCCACAGCCCCCCTGCTATCTCTGCCCTGGGGTCCCTCCCCACACACTGCTCTGCCTGGGCCCCCAGACCAACCCGCAGCCCCCCTGCTAGCCCCGCCCTGGGGGCCCTCCCCACACGCTGCTCTGCCCGGGCCCCCAGACCAACCCGCAGCCCCCCTGCTAGCCCCGCCCTGGGGGCCCTCCCCACACGCTGCTCTGCCCGGGCCCCCAGACCAACCCGCAGCCCCCCTGCTAGCCCCGCCCTGGGGGCCCTCCCCACACGCTGCTCTGCCCGGGCCCCCAGACCAACCCGCAGCCCCCCTGCTAGCCCCGCCCTGGGGGCCCTCCCCACACGCTGCTCTGCCCGGGCCCCCAGACCAACCCGCAGCCCCCCTGCTAGCCCCGCCCTGGGGGCCCTCCCCACACGCTGCTCTGCCCGGGCCCCCAGACCAACCCGCAGCCCCCCTGCTAGCCCCGCCCTGGGGGCCCTCCCCACACGCTGCTCTGCCCGGGCCCCCAGACCAACCCGCAGCCCCCTTGCTAGCCCAGCTCTGGGGTCCCACCCCACACACGGCTCTGCCTGGGTCCCGCATCCAACCCACAGCCCCCCTCCCTCCTGCTATGCTGGCCCTGGTCCCCCCTCCTCCGCCCTGCCTTGCTAATGCCTCTCTCCTGGTCTGCCAGGCTGCCAAAGGGCGGGCGGGGTTCCAGGAAGCCATATGGGCAGCTGGGCCTCACCAAAGGCCGCTTGGCAATTAGCCCGCCTGGAGGCTGAGAGGGCTGGGCCCTTGGCTTGGAGCCAGAGGTGGGGGCAGGTAAGCACTTAGCAGCCGCCACGAAGGGGAAAGTTAAACCCCAGAGCACGGGGGATGGGAGGGGAGACCAGGCCAGGCCTGGCCAGAGACCCCCCTTACCTTTGCCTGGAGAGGGGTCGGTGCCATCGCTGCTGTCCTGGAGGGAGGGCGTGAGGAAGCTGCTCTCCTTGGCCGGGCTGTCGTCCAGGATCTCCTCGGGGCACAGGTACACCTCGATGGGGCCGTTGGTGCTCTTCAGGTGGAGCTGCACGTTCTCCTGCTGGGAGAGGAGCCGGGTCAGCGGGATCCCCCCTTGTCCCGCTGCAGAGCTGGCAGCCGAGCCTGGGACACGGGCTCCCCAGCTGCGGAGACAGCTCAGTGGGGAAGCCTCACTCAGCAGGGCCTTGTCCTCAAGGGGGATGGGTGAGAAGCAGATAAATGCAGGGAAACAGAGCTCCCAGCTGGCCCTAGTCCCCTCCCTGCAATGCAGCCACTTGGAGTCCCCCTGGGCACCAGGGCTAAGAGGTAGCTGAGCCGAGGCGTCATTGCTCTGGGCCTCGGTTTCCCCGTCTGTGAAATGGGGATAGTGGCTCTTCCGTCTCTCCTCGAGGCCTACCCAATGGGATACAGAGCACAGCTGAGGTCTCCACTGCTGGCCAGGAGGGCAGGTTTCCCTGCGCCCAATCCAGCAGAGCCCTCCTCCGGCCCCCTCACCTCACTGAAGTCCGGCACCTCCAGCTTGGTTTCTGGGGGGGCCTTGACCGCGATCACCGTCTGCTCCTGGAAGTTGCCGATGGCGCGGATGTCCTGGTAGGTGACGTAGGCTAACGTGGGAGGGGCGAGTTCAGGAAACGCCGGCCACAGACTGAATCTTCTCAGCCCACAGAGGACGGGAGAGTCGGTTCTCTGCAGATCCAACGCGCTGGGCCCGCCCGCCCACCCCCCAAATCCAGACAGGGTCCCAACCCTGCCCACGAAGGCATCTGCGCTGCCAGGCACAGACTACAAGCCTTTTCTTCCATCCTGAGGGGGACACGGGACTACAGCCTCGCCCCGCGGCATCCCATTAGCCAGCTCTCTCCCCCCACAGCCCCGCAGCAGCAAGCCCTTACGGTAAACACGCTGGGCCCGCCCGCCCACCCCCCAAATCCAGACAGGGTCCCAACCCTGCCCACGAAGGCATCTGCGCTGCCAGGCACAGACTACAAGCCTTTTCTTCCATCCTGAGGGGGACACGGGACTACAGCCTCGCCCCGCGGCATCCCATTAGCCAGCTCTCTCCCCCCACAGCCCCGCAGCAGCAAGCCCTTACGGTAAACAGGGCCGAACAGCCCGGCCGGAGCTCACAGGCTGGGGCAGCCCGGCACAGGCTCCCTGTTTGTTCCTGAACGGACCCCAGAGCCCTGGTCCTGCGAGGATGCGACGGGGCCATCTCCACATTTGCTCCGTTCCCACCACGGGTGCCGGAAAGGCCCTGGGATAAGGCAGATGCTGGAGGCAAAGCTTTTTCACCCAGGCCATGGAGCTGGCTGGCAGAGGAGGGGAAACCAAACCGAAGGCAAAGTGTGCTCAGGCAGGAAGGCAAACCCCACCGGGCGCTTTCCCAAGACGGCTCTGAAACAGAACTCACCTGCTGCTGAGTCAAACCCCGCCCTGGGCCGGGTGTGGCTTTATCAACCACGTCTCTTGTCTGGGCAGGGCTGCTCCTGGGCTCCTCCCTCCGGGCTGCTCAGCCCTCACTCCGGATCCTCCCTCAGACCCAATATCCCTCCGACCGTCATTTTCAGACTGGCTTTGCTCCTGCCGCTGCCGCCCGCTACCCCTCCTCCCCTGCCCCGGGACCCTCAGCCCCCCGTGAAGGATATCTCTGGTTAGTCTCGTCCTCCGTCAGGTGCTTTAGCTGGAGGGTGCAGTCTTGGATGAGCTCATCCACCTTCCGCTCGGTCTTGGCCAACTCGGCCAGCTCCTGGCGCAGGGACTGCTGCTTCACCGTCACAGAGGTGTCCTCGAAAATCCCTGTGCCCCTGAGGAGAGAAGCAGCGCCAGCTCTGAGGATCAGTGGAAAGCAGTGCAGCTGGGAGGGGGAGGTTGGGGGAGGGGTCCCTCAGCAGGGACAGCACAAGGTCCCCTTGGAGGGCGAGTGTCACGTTCGCTTGACGTGCAGCTCCAAGCGCGCTGCAAAGTAGCATCGTAAACACTTGCCGCTGAATGGCTCTGTGACAGGAAACAAGCCGGGCTAGAGAGCGGCCTGAAAGCCGGGCCCCTCGACGGCGTGGCTCTAAAATCCTGACATGGCCCAAAGACAGAGCCATGCTGAGGAGCTCGGGCCGGTCTCTGCAAACTAGAGTTGGCAACAGCTGCCTCCATTGTATTCACTCCCTCGTAAAAGAGCCTGGCACAAGTCCCCTGCTCACTGCCAGCCAGGCAAGGGTCAGGGCATCGCTGCTGGCTCAGACCCCGTACACGTTTCTGACGACAGCCAGCAACAGACGCAGCAGAGCAAGTGGACAATGACAGAGGAGCCTGCCATAGGGAAAGCATCTCCGAACCCCAGGTAGCCCGGGCTTTGCTTGCATCAGGGTTTGTATCCTCTCCTACTTACCTTGGCTCCCGACCTCAGGGTGATCTTGCGGTAGGGAGTTCCACAGGTTAACTTACGAAGCATGTAAAATCACAACTATTCACTGTATTCTCCCCTGCGGTAGGTAAGTGGGGGAAGAGGACCAAAAGCACGTGTCCTACGGCCTGAGCCATGCTGGGGCGGGAGCAGGGCTGATGAAGTCACTACGGTTTAGCCAGAAGCTCGAATGGGGTCGTGTCTCTGCTCTTCCAACATGGCTCTGATGTGTTCGGTCTCACCTAGGCACTCCGTCCAAACTCCGGTCTAATGGGGGCTCTTTCCAGCCATGCTCACTGGCCAAAGCACGTTAGAAACTAGCCAAGCTGTGACCCTGTGAGACCCTGGATCCTAACTCTGTCCCCAGGCCAGCACAGGGGGCTGCCCAAGGCTGAGATCCCTGCAAGCCCCCAGAACAGACACAGGGCAGGTCACTCCAGCCCTAGACGCGCACAAAGCCCTTGAGATCCCCCCCCCCGTCTCCTCCTTACATCCACTGGATGTTGTTCTTGGATTTCTTCCGGATGAGCTGGATCCCCTCCAGCACGTTGGTGATGTCGTAGATCCGGCGCTTCTGCACCTCCAGCACCTCGGCCGCCCGGTTCAGGTCCAGCACCCCGTCCTCCGACTCGCTCAGCAGGTGGATGAACTTCTTCGTCAGCAGCCCCAGGGAGGTGTCGTAGCGCGTCTTCTCCCCGGGCGACTTGGGGGCTTTCGTGGCGGGGAGAGAGGAGGCAAGTCAGGGTGGCTCACGTCACAGTAGATCCGGCGCTTCTGCACCTCCAGCACCTCGGCCGCCCGGTTCAGGTCCAGCACCCCGTCCTCCGACTCGCTCAGCAGGTGGATGAACTTCTTCGTCAGCAGCCCCAGGGAGGTGTCGTAGCGCGTCTTCTCCCCGGGCGACTTGGGGGCTTTCGTGGCGGGGAGAGAGGAGGCAAGTCAGGGTGGCTCACGTCACAGCGGTGCCCGGAGAACCGCACAGCTGCTGGCTAGCGGCACACAGGGCCCAAGCAGCAGAGGCTCCTGCTTTCAGTGCCGGGGGCCCAGGGCTCGAGGCCCCGGACAGCCCACGCAGGCGGTTCCCGGTGCTAGGGCTGAAAGCGACTAGTCGACTATCCGCTAAGCATAAGCCTCTTGGCCAGTCGACTAGTGAGCGACTCGTCGCTGCCTCCCCCTTGCTGCTTCTATCAGAGAGGGGGGGGAGAGGAGCAGGACCTGGTGCTGGGGGGAAGCCGGCTTAAAAGCCCCCGCAGCACCGTCTCCACGGGGGACCGGGGAGGCAGAGGCGCAGCGGGAAAAGGCGCG